AACAGCATGGTCACTTAGCATCACACATAGCTCAAAGGGCAAAGTTCCATCAAAGGGTAGAGTCCAATCTGGTGTAGTGATGATAGGGGCTGAGATTAACTCCTTCTTTAACCTGTTGAAAGCATCTAAACACTCTTTGTCAAAATTAAAGGAAACATCCTTAACTAATAAATTACAAAGAGGTTTTGTGATTTTCGAGAAGTCTTTTATGAATCTCCTGTAAAATCCTGCATGACCAAGAAAACTCCTTATTCCTTTTACTAAGTTAGGAGGAGGTAGTTTTTCAATCACCTCGATTTTTGCTTTGTCTACTTCAATCCCTTTTTGAGAGATCTTATGCCCTAAGACAATACCTTCACTAACCATGAAGTGACACTTTTTCCCAATTTAAAACAAGGTTAGTGTCTTTCACATCGTTTTGCATTAATCAACGATTAAAATTATTGAAAGACATGCATCGGAAAGAAGAACCAAATACAGAAAAATTCATCCATGAATATTTTCAATTAAATTTTTTACCATATCAAAAAAAAATGACCATCATGCACCTTTGGAAGGTTTGCGGGGCATTGCATAGCCCAAAAGCATTTCTCCTATTTAAGTCAAAAGTGCCATAAGGGACAGTGTGAAGGTAGTTTTCTCTTTGGTCTTCAGGAAAACAATAAAGGTATCTGAAAGTATCCTGGAATAAACCATTGAAGAAAACAAAGAATGGACTAACCTGAGTCTTTCAAGCATTGATCCAATTAAAGGGTAGGGGAAAGTGTGTCTTTGCGTGTTGCTTTGTTTAATTTTCTATAATCTATGCACCACACGACCAACCTGTGACTGTTCTTTGTTGGGAACATTAGGTTCATTGTTTTCATTAGAGATAACGGTCATACCTCCCTTCTTTGGCACAAACTTGGGACAGGGGACTCACCCAAACTACTGTCAGACTTGGACAGGACTCACCCAACTACTGTCAGAAATTGGATAAATGATACCTGCATCCAGGAGTTTTATGATTTCAGCCTTGACTACCTCCTTCATATTTGGATTCAACTGCCTTTGATGCTCGATTGAAGGTTTGTAGTCTTCTTCCATCAAGATTTTATGCATGCATACACTTGGGCTTATTCCTTGTTGATCTGAGATAGACCACCCTAGTGCTTTCTTATGCCTTCGTAGAACTTACAACAACCTTTCTTCTTGATCAAGCATTAAGTGAGAAGAAATAATAACAGGAAAAGAATGGTCATCACCTAAGAATGCATGCTTTAGATGAGGTGGAAGTTGTTTCAGTTCTTGTTTAGGTTGTTCTTTTTCTTTTTCATTGATGATGCTTGATTCATTAATGTTATTTTCGATATGCAAAGTTTTTTCCACACATTCATCAATAACATCGATTCGAAAACAATCACCATAATCCATAGGAAGTTTACAAGATTTAAGAACATCAAAGACAATTTCTTCCTGTCCGACCCTTAGAGTTAACTTACCTTCATAGACATCAATTAACGCTCTTGCAGTTGCAAGAAAAGGTCTTCCAAGGATTAAAGAACCTTCCCTGTCTTCATCAATGTCAAGAATAACAAAATCAACAGGAAAGATGAATGTTGAATACCTAACCTTTACAAAGCACGTCTTCTCATAAGAACATCCTTGTAAAGCACATTCCTTTGTTGTTTTGAGCTCTCCCATGCCTAGCATCTCTATAGAAGACTTCATAAGACATAAGTTTTAATGCTAGGCACCTAAATCTGCCAAAGCCTTTTCAAAATCAAAGAGTTTCAAAATTTAAATTGCCAATATTACAAGGAATAGAAAAACTCCCTGGATCTTTAAGTTTAGGTGGCAATTTATTTTGAATGATTGCATTGCATTCCTCAGTCAGTTTCACCATGCCCTGATCATCAATCTTTCTTTTCTTGCTCAAGATTTCTTTTAAGAACTTTGCATAGCAGGGCATTTGAGCAAGAGCTTCGGCAAAAGGAATGTTGATTTAAAGCTTTTTGAAGACGTCAAGAAATTTCATGAAGCTTTGGTCATCCTGCGTCTTTTTCAGCCTTTGCGGAAATGGAACGGGTGGAACATAGGGTTTCACTTCTTCCTTCTCCACCAGATCAATGATAGGTGCTTTTCTCTCTTCTTCTTGTTCCTTCTCCTTTCTGGGCTTGTCCTCAAATTCTCTGCCACTCCTCAAGGTGATGGCTTGTACCTGTTCTTTAGGATTTTTTTTAGTGTTACTAGGTAACGTACCTTGAGGTCTAGCTGCCATCATGTTTGCAAACTAGTCCTAGCTGAATTTCAAATTTCTTATTGCAGGCCTGTCTGGACTTTATGGTTTTCTCTTGGTTTCGGTCATTTTGAAAACATGTGCGATTAGAAAGGGCCCAGGTGAGGGTACATCATGGGATATTCTTTTCTGGAGAAGGAACCCTCATGGTGGTTGCGTTCAAGGCGATTGTTAGTGATTACCATAGATAGATTAGGATGGTTCTAAATCTGTTATCATATGAGTTGGAGTAAGGGTAATCTCTTCCTTCCTTGATTTCATCACAAGTTTACTTTGCTCCCAAAGTTTGTTTGGATTCAAAGAGTCCCATCATGCATTCCTACCAATTCCATGTTGTCCATTGGCACCTATCACAAACTTTGCATAATAGAATTCACAGAATTAGTGGTATAGCATGCCAATTTCGTACCATGTTACCCACCTTGGCATTAAGTGCTGTTGATAGCATCTATTTCATTACAGCTCCTGCGGTTCTTCTTCCTTCGGAATTGTTTTGGTAATGGCTGTTGGCTTGCCATCTTCTTCTATAACTCGTAGGCTTCATCAATTTCCCTTCTTTTCCAAAGATCCACGTGCAGCTGCATCTTATGCAGCTGCATCTAAAGTGATTTTGATATTAGGAGATAATGCATTATAAAAAGTTTGTACCTGTAACCACTTAGGTAAACTGTGATGGGGGCACTTTCTCAACAAGTCCTTGAATCTTTCCCAAGCTTTATACAAGCTCTCTTGATCATGATGAGCAAATGTCATTATCTCATTGCGCAACCTTGTGGTTTTTGAGGATGGGAAGAATTTTGCTAAGAACTTTTGGGCTAATTCGTCCCATGTTGTGAAACTTCCAGCGGGACATGACTGTAACCAGGATCGTGCTTTATCCCTAAGAGTGAAAGGGAAAAGTCTTAATTTAATGCGTCTTCAGAAACACCATTTTGTTTGAAAGTATCACAAATTTTCAGAAAATTTGTGATATGGGCATTAGGATCTTCACTAGGCAAACCCCCATATTGGATCAAGTGGAGAGCATTTGGATAATTGTGGGTTTAATCTCAAAATTATTAGCTTCCACCCTAGGTCATGTAATACTTGAGGTTGTCCCATTCAGATTAGGTGTTGTGTAATCTCGCAAGGTACGGACCGGATGTTGAAGTGGAGGTCCGATTACGTTCTCGTTGAAGTAGAGGTCCGTTCATGTTTTCGTTCTCGTGCTCGCTCGTTAACCATATCTGCTTGTTGTTCGGGTTTTATTTCACGTGCTCTTCTTGCAACGTTGTGCCTATGATAAGTTCTTTCAATTTCCGGATCAAAGACTAGAGGTTCAGTCCATCTCGATCTTCTTTGCATAAACACCTGAAATAATTCTTAAAGAAAAAAAAATTAAATAAAAATAAAAGAATGTCTAAATTAACAATAGGGTAATTAGTATTGATATTGATAACGCCAATCCCCGGCAACGGCGCCAAAATTGGACAGTGATTTCGCAAAGTGTACGAAATCGCAAACAAGTAATATAGAGTTAAGAGAGTATCGTATCCAACAGGGGATTTGTATATCAAGTAACCAGAAAATTATGTTAACCTACTATTATTCAAACGAGTAATCAGAAAGAATTGATGTAAGGAAAATAAAATTGAAAGTAAAGAACAGGAAGAGATCAAACACCCAAAAATTTAGTTGGAAAAGAGATCAAGGATTTAAACTTACTAAGGGGAATTGACTCACTTAATTCTATCCAACTTATTTCTATTAGTTCATTTAATCAATTTTTAATTGTTTCAAGTAGGAGAAAAACAACCTAGAATTACTAAACAAGCTCTCCCGATTGTATTGCTAGTTATTCTAATCTAGTCTTAATTACCTATCTTTCTTTACTAGTGATGAAACCAGACATAAATTAGATCTTTGAGTTTCTTGTGGTTGTTTATTGAGTTCAAACCTAAATCCTTTAATTCATGAAACCCCCCTTGTAGTCAAAACCATATAGCTTCTCGCGTTCAAAGTTATTTATTTCTCAAGTAATTTATTATCTTTTTCATATCAAAAACCCTTTCTCCCGATTATGGATTATTGAAATAATTCATCCAGGGAAAATTCTGCTGAAGCTTTAAAGCACAATGAATAAATGTTGCCTGGAAGCTTTAAGCACAATAATAAATTATAACAAGAACAATGAAAAACAAATCTAATATTATAAATTGGAATCGAATTAAGTTAGATCAAATCCCTAGTATAAGAGTTTAGCTAGACATAGTAATTAAATAAAACTCAGTAATATTTGAATTAATCTACATAATCAGTAATAAACAATGAAAAAAAAAACAAGATTAAGAGTTTAGAGATAAAAACTAGGTAACAGCTATGTGGATGGCTTTCTTGAATCTTCGCACAAATCTTGATGTTTGGGATCCTTGAGAGAGAGAGAGAATTATGCAGAAAATCACTTAAAAACGAGATGCCTAACAATGAGAAGTTCCCCTCTTTATATAGAGCTCCTGAAGGCAAATCTGACTCCGTTTAGAAAATAGAATCCTTTTTTAGTGCAACATCTTCTATAGGAGATCATAACTGTTTAGGCCTTGGATTTCTTCTTAATTGGGACTCCTTTCTCTTCCAAAACTTGTTTGGTACGTTTAGGAAACTCTCCGAGGCGGGCCCATGTGAGGAAAAGATTGGTTTGCGTCTTTAGTTGACGCTAGTTCTGCCTTCGAAGCACGGGCGTGCAATGATGCACGGTTGGGGCGTGCTTAAGTCTAGAAGTTTGGCTGGTGGAGCACGGGGTGTGCTAGACAAGCACGACCTGATAAATCTTTGTGGCACGGGCGTGCCATATAGCATAGGCGGGGCGTGCTTGTCCCTGTCTTCCCCAGCTAGAGTTTACAATGGGTGTGCTAAGCTGGCACGCCCTTCCTTCTTTTGGGCACGACCTGCCTTCTAGCATGCCTCAGGGCGTGCTCACTCCTGACTCTCCCTTAATTTCCTTAGTTTTTAGCACGGTTGTGCTACTTAGCACGGGCTGAGTGTGCTGGAGGCTTGTGCTACTTAGGCACGGGACTGGGATGTGCTTGGAGGCTGAGCATTTTTGTCTTGCATGCCCTTTTTCTTGTCGCCAAAACCCTGCACAATTTCTCTCAGATCAAGTGAGTTATTGATTTCAAGGAAACTCTTGACAAAATTATACTAAAAATGAATTTAAAAAACAACATAAAGCGATAAAAATTTACTAAAAATCCTAATAAAAACTATATAAAAAAATACATAAAATTAACACCTATGCCATTTTGCTTCATTGATTTTTTTTTTTTCTGGTTTCCATTTAAGTTTTACTTCCAATCTGTAATAGTTAATAATAAAAGGGAAGAAAAATTTGATCGGTTTTAATTAAAGACTAAGGAAAATTAATAATTAATTAATTAAAGACTAAGAAAATTAATAATTAAAAAGGAAAAGAACAAAAATAATTTTGAAAAGTGAAGGAAAGTTGATGGAGATGGATCAGATTGAAGAGAGAGAACTCCGCCACAAGAAAGAACAAGTCTAAAATTGTTCGCTATATGTCCTATAGCCAATTCAATTGATTATATTTTGAATATAATATTTCATGTAATAAATATTTTATTATTAGTAAAAGACATTTATTTATCTTTTATATTCTATTGGTTGAATCTTGGTAAAAAATAAAGTCTATGAGACAATACTACTTTGCGAAATAAATTATAATGTAGTTATAATTATGAGTTTTATATTTGAATAAAAGCAATGTCTCTAAATATTTCTGGTCAATGTTCTTCTCATTATTATATGATGATTAGAGTTGTTGAGACTGATACATATTATGTTCTTTCCTTAAAGAAGCAGCTATTCTTATAAGTTGAGATATATATGATATCTAGGAACTAATATGTAGGTACTTGTTATTTATACAAGTCTACTGAATTGACCTCCATGAAAAATTCATATGAAGAGTTACCTGTGTCTATGGAATACTCAAATGATGGTTGTGTAAGTGATCTTTTGACTTAAAATTACTAAGCTATCTTATATGGAGATAATTATGTTTTGATTCTTTGTTCATATTATTCATTCATGAATAATAAAGCAATGATTTTTTTGACATAGTAGGAACCATATGGAGATACTTGTGTAATTAAGAGAGGATTCATCACCCTAGGTAAATTAGAAAAAATATTCTAATTGTTCTCTACTAGTATTAATTAAAAAATCGTTGCGCAAGATAGAATGAAATTAGCAAATTAAATTTGGAATTTCATTCAAATGATCAATGGCTAAGGTTAAGAGAACTAACATGATTTAGTAAAGCAGACATACTCCATGTCTAATTACTAAATTAGAATATTAATGATGAAAGTATATTAATTACACTGATAAATCATGCACTCAAAGGTTAAATCAAACTACTTTGACTTTTCAAATATTTGGGAGGTCTTGACAATGTACTTGACCTAAATATTAATTAAATAATTTAATTTATATTTATTGTCAACATATGAAATAATCTTAATTTAATTATTGATCAAACATATTTGGAACCTTAGAATTCACACGTATCAAAAATGGATTATGAGAAATGAAAAACGAGAAATCGTAATCAAGTATGACTTGTATTATATAGTTTTTGGATATTAAGGGCCAAAAAATTATAATTATATTTAATTACCAATTTTGACCCTAAATTGTTAAGTATCTGACTTAAATTTGATTTATGTCTAAAATTTATTAAGAAATTTAGATTAAAATAAAAAATAATGTTTTTAATTATAATTTATTATTTTAAATAGTTAAATAAATTAATATTATTGATAATTGACAAATCGGCATTTTATTATATGCATTAGATTTATTATTTTAAAAGGTTTAAATAAATAATTTATAATTATATTCTATTTATGATCTGAAGGTTTCATAGATAATGTTAAGAGACAGATAAATAATTATAATTAATTTATTTATGATCTAAGGTTTTCATAGATAATGTTTAAGAGACAGTCTAAAGACAGTAGTTGTTGCTTATAGCCACAAAACTAAACCAAAAGCTCTCAAGCCTCTAAAACAATTTTAGAGTTTTTGGATTGTCCATTCATGTGCATACTACTAGAGGTCGGACACTTTGACGACTTGTAGTTTGCAAAAACCTAGCCGTATAAATTGAAGTTTCGAAGAATTTACAAAGGGATATTCTTCTAAATAATTTTTAATGTTTTAATCGTTTAAACGGATCCTTATTAGTATAATTATTTTGTTATAATTATATTATTTCGCTACATATTATTGATTTTTAAAACTCAACAGTGGTATCAGAGCAATCGTTTAAAAGTTTAAGGTGTAAAAAAAAAAAAAATTAATTATTGAGATTAATTTCGAATTACTTCATGTGGTGAGATTTGATATTTGATAAAATTAAATCTGGTGTTCTTTAAAATTTTCACAGATTTGTTTTCAATTTATAATTTAATCTAAAAAAAAAGAAATTGAAAAGGGAAAATTTTATCGAAGAACACTGATGTTTATGTCGTCGCCGTTGCCGGACCGCCTGCCACCGAGAACCGCGGGAGGCAGCGCTGCGTCTGGCTCGACTGGATCCGCGCCGCATCCATGCAAGTGCTCTGGTGCGGAACGGCAGCCTTCTCTCTGTTTCGTTTTAATTTTTTTTAAAAAAAAATTTTTGAAACCCCGTTTTTCGGGCGAAGCAGCGCCGTCTCAGCCAAGGCAGAGAAGGACCACGGTGTTCCGACCACCGAGACACTGTCTCTGGCCGAGATAGCATCGTCGAAATCCCTGGCCATGGCTGAAGCGTTGATGCTGCGGCGGCGAGGGTTTTCAGTTGAAACCACGATCTGATCTTTAGAAGATGACAGCACAATTCTGTTTTGGTACCTTAAGGTTTTCCAGATTTCACATGGGTCCGAAATTGTTTTAATTTGTTTCAATTAAGTCCTGAAATTAGTTCTAATTGGATATTTTAATTAATTTGGAATTAATTAAATTATCAGGTTATTAAAATTAATTTTCAGTCAATTAAAATATATAGTATTTTCTATTTTTTTAAAAAAAATTAAAAGAGTTTAATTTTTAATAAAACCATTTTGTGAATTTATTCCTAATTGGATTAGGAATAAATTAAATTGTTTAATTGTTTAGTAATTCTAATATGATTAGAATTAGTAAAATTGATTTACGAAACAATTTTAGAAATTCTAAAATTAGTTTTAATAAGATTTGTTCTAAAATTAGTTTTAATAAGATTTGATATATGAATAAAATTTTTTTATTCATAAATTGATGTTGAAAAATATCAAAAATGAAATTTTAATAGTTAAAATTTTATTTTTAGCACATGAGACCAATAATTAATATATATTTATATTTGATAATATTTAAATGCATTTAATATGATTATTATGCATGATGAGTCATTATGAACATTAGAAAGACCTATGTGATTGGTTTTATTATATTTGGTTGAATGGTTTATGTAATTTTAAATAGAGTCTGCGTGTCTTAATTCTTTTTTATTTTGGGTTGTAAAATTTCTTATTTATTTCATTCAATTATGTAATAGTTAGATAATTAGTACATGTAAATAGGATATCATTTTGTAACCCAAGAAGAAAAGAAAAATTGAAGAAATTATATGAAGCATTGAAAAATCCGAGTCAAGGAGCTGGAGCTGCTATTGAGCCTTATGATGATTTAAGAAGCTGCTACATAGGATTTTTGACCATCTAATTTCCGAAATGGTCCAAGGAAATTAGTTTTAGAAATGTCCATATTCATCCAATTAGAATGGCATGCTAAGAGTGTATGTTATGTATGTATGATATATGATATGACCATCATGCCAAAGCATGAAACCTGTGATTAAATTTTAATTAAAAATCCCTTAATAAAATTTTAAGTATATATTAAGATATGGTTGATTGCCACCCATTGTTATAGCATGAAACATGAAAACCAAGGCTTTATTACATTTTTGGCTTGTTGGGAAAATCCAAGGTCAATTTTTAATCAACATGTTTAATGCTATCAAATAATCTGAACAATAGTTTACTTAACCCAATTTTATGTTTTACTTAACCAATTTATATGATTTGGATGAGAAAACTCATGATCATATAATATTAGGGCAAAGGTTAGGCGAAACATATTTGATATGCCTCGACAAAGAGTTGTCACTTAACTGATCTAAGAGTCATATAAAGACGTGATTGATAAATTGTGTTATCTACCTAAATTAATTCAATATAACTTGTTGGGAAAATCCAAGGTTATATGGGTTAATTGGGATCTTAAGCTTACTAGGAGATCTAAACACTGGATTTCCCGAATTAATAGAAAGGGCTATTAATTTGAATGAAATAGTGAGAGACCTAAATTAAAATTAAAGACCTTATTTAATTTAGTATTGCATGAAATTAATACTTGATATCTCTATATTTGTAGATCAATTATCACCATGAGTAATAATCTATGCTTGCATCGCATACCTGATGCTAATAAATTGACTGGACCAAACTTTATTGAGTAGTATCGCAATCAGAGAATTGTTCTCAAGCAAGAAAAGAGGTTATATTGTCCTTGATAAGAACAAACCTGACATTCCCGCTGATGATGCTACTGAAGAAGAAAGGAATAACTTCATTTGTCATATTGATGATGATGAACATGCGACACGTGTGATGTTAGCCAGCATGAGTTCTGAACTTCAAAAGCAACATGAGAATATGGATTCTCAAACCATTATCTTGCATCTTAGGGAGCTGTTTGACTCCCAAGGTAGGTTTGAGAGGTATGAGACCTTTAAGGAATTGTTCTGTTGTAAGATGGCAGAAGGCTCTTCAGTTCGTGTTCACGTTCTGAAGATGATGGCTATATTGAAAAATTGGGCCAATTAAGCATTGCCATGGACCATGAGCTGAGTATTGACTTAGTTTTACAGTCCTTACCACCCAATTATTCACATTTCATTTTGAATTTTAATATGAACAAGCTGGATGCTTCCATACTTGAGTTGCTTGGTATGCTTACCATTACTGAAGGAGCCCTTAAGAAGGATATAACTCCTATACTTATAGTTCAGTCTTCTAAGGCTAAGAAAAAGCCCAAGAAGAAGCAAAATAAGAAGAAGGCACTGAATTCCAAATGGAGGTATGACTAAAGAAAAGGGTATCTGCCACCACTGTGGCAAAGATGGCTACTGGAGGAGGAACTGTAGGAAATATCTTACGACTGTGAAAGCAAAGAAGCTTGCAGAAACTTCTGCTTCAGGTATCTTTATGATTGAAATTAATCCTTCTATTTTACTTCTAAGTCGATTTGAACAAGAAGAGCTTATTCCGTTTGGGAATTAGATACCTAATATGATAGTCATATTAATAACGTGTAGGAACTAAAGAAAATAGAAAATTGAGGAAAGATGAACTTACGTGTAGCCTGTGGAGCAAAGGTTACTGCATTAGCTATAGGAACATGTTTTGGCTTAGTATTAGAATTAAATAATTGTCATTTTATTTCAGTACTTAGTAGAAAAATTGTTTCAGTTTCATATTTAGTTTTGAATAACAGATTCAAATTTTGTTATTAAAAATAATAGTTGTTCTTTTTATAATAAAGATATTTATTTAAAAATAATAGTTGTTCTTTTATAATAAAGATATTTTATGAAACTAGGAATCAAGTACATATGATTTTTATATAATCAATACATATGATTTATATAATGTTTCTGTTGATAAACTCCTCATCAACATAAACAGCAAGAAATCTAAAATAGATAATAAAACTTATCATATCTTCGTCATTGTAGACTTGGTCACATTAATAAAACAAGAATCACTAAGTTGCATAAAGAAGATTACTTTGAATCTTTTTTATTATGAGTCATATGAAACTTGTAAATCATGTTTCATGGGTAAAAAGACTAAAACACCCTTTACATGAAAGATCAAAAGAATTATCGAACCTAATACATCTAGATGTATGTGGACCAATTACTGCCTAGGCCATAGGTAGATGTGAATGTTTCATTATATTTACCGATGACTATATATGGTTATGTATATATATAACGAAACATAAATCTGAATTTTTAAAAAGTTCAAGGAATTTAGAAATGAAGTTGAGAAACTAACTAAAAGTATTAAAACACTTTGATTCGATCGAGGCAAAAAAACTTAAGTTAAGCGTTTTGAGATTATCTATTAGAAAATGTGAATCGTACCTTATTAGATATAGTACAATCCATGATGAGTCTTGTAGAATTTTCTTCTTCCTTTTAAGGTAATGCGATATACCTTCTAAATAGAGTTTCATCCAAATCTGTTGATAAGATTCCATGTGGGCCAACACGCTTATGTGAAGCGTTTGAGATCTGATACGCTATGAGCTAAATCAGATAAATGTAAGTTTGTGGGATATCCAAAAGAAATTATTGGATATTATTTCAACCATCCTATTGAGAGAAAAATGTTTATCTCAAAATATGGAAAAAATGTTTATCTCAAAAATATGCTACCTTTCTAGAAAAGGTATTTAATCCTTAAAGGAAGCAGGCGTGTATTTATCCTTAAAGGAAGCAGTGGGAGCTAGCTGGTAGAACTTGTAAAAGTTCAAGAACCTCAAATATACATTAAAAATGGAACTAGAACAAAAGATTGTTACATTAGATTAATAGTTAAAATACATTGGTTAAAGAACCACAGCGTAAATTTGATAGGATGAGTCGTGCTCCTACAAAGGTTGGACCTTCTTGTGGAGACTCGAACCTAACAAATATAAAGAGAAATGTTCGACATTTACTTGCAATTGCAGCGTATTATGTTTAGAAATTTATCATATTGATGTCAAAATTGCATTCTTAAATAGCAAATCTAATGATTTTTGAATCAAAAGAATTTCCTAATATAGCATGCAGACTGCAAAAGTCCATTAGTAGACTTAAGCAAGCCTTTGTGGAATGAGAACATCCGTTTTAATGAAATAATCAAATAGTTTGATTACATTAAAAATGTGAATGATCTTTGTGTGTATAAGAAGGTCAGTGGGAGTGGAATGATATTTCTTATTTTGTATGTTAATAACATATTAATAATAGGAAATTACATTCTACTACTCTAAAATCTATAAGGATAGATTCGATAGGCTCCTAGGATTATCTCAATCCACATATATTGATAAAATGCTAAAATAATTTAGCATGGAGGAATCCAAAATAGGATACCTACTTATATATCAATCTGATCCGGATGAAAGTCACTGGACTGCTGTTAAAACTATCCTTAAGTATTTAAAAATAAGTAAGAATATTTTTCAGTTATGGAGAAACTAATGAACTAATAAGTATATAAACATAAGTAAGGATACTTTTCAGTTGTGGAGAAACTAATGAACTAAGAGTTCATGGATACACTGATGCATTAGGATAAAACACATGGGTAATTGGCTTTAGTGCGAATGGGAGATTATTAGTTATATGCCCTATAGCCAATTCAATTGATTATATTTTGGATATAATTTTTCATGTAATAAATATTTTATTATTAATAAAAGACATTTATTTATCTTTTATAATTTATCTTTTATATTCTATTAGTTGAATCTTGGTAAAAAATAAAGTCCATGAGACAATACTGCATTGTGAAATAAATTATAATGAGGTTATAATTATGAGTTTTATATTTGCATTAAAGTAATGTTTCTAAATATTCTTGGTCAATGTTCTCCTCATTATTGGACGATGATTAGAGCTGTTGAGACTGGTACAAATATGTTCTTTTCTTAGGGAAGCAGTTGTTCTCATAAGCTGAGATATATGTGATATCTAAAACTAATATGTAGGTGCTTGTTATTCAAACAAGTCCACTGAATTGACCTGCATGAGCTGCATGAGAATTCCATATGGAGAGTACCTGTGTCGTATGGGAATACTCAAGTATGTTGTGTAAGTGATCTTTTGACTTGAATGACTTAAGCTATTCTTGTATGGGATGGACTATATTTTGATTCTTCGTTCACATTATGTCATTCATGAAAATAAGCAAAATAATAAGCAATGATTTTTTGGACATAGTACGAACCGTATGGAGATACTTGTGTAGTTAAGAGAGGATTCATCACTCTAGGTAAATCAGGAAAAATATTCTAATTGTTCTCTACTAGTATTGATTAAGAAATCCTTGCGCAAGATAGAATGAAATTAGCAAATTAAATTTGAAATTTCATTCATATGATCAATAGCTAATTTTAAAAGAATTAACATGATTTAGTAAAGCAGACACACTTCATACCTAATTACTAAATCAGCATTAATGATGAAGAGATATTAATTCATGCAGTGAAAGGTTAAGTCAAACCACTTTGACTTTCCAAATATTTGGGTAGTCTTGATATGTTGCTAGATAATGTATTCGACCTTCAAATATTAATTAAATAATTTAATTTATATTTGTTACCAACATATTTGGAACCTAGTAGGTCACACACATAAGAATAGATATGAGAAAATGTATTGACTTAATTGATTTATATCTAAAATTTATTAAGATAAATTTTAGATTAAATAAACCTAATATTTTAATTATAATTTATTTATTAATTTATTTATTTAAATAGTTAAATAAATAAATATAAGTGAATAAATTGAATATCGTATTGCCATATGTATTATGATCTATTTTATTTAAATTGTTTAAATAAATAAATAGGCACATATATATTTTAGTTATAATTTATTTATTTAAAAGGTTTAAATAAATAATAATTTATTTATTTATAACCTAAATAAGGTTTAAGAGACAGTCTAAAGACGGTAGTTGTTGCTTATAGCCACAAAACTAAGCATAGAGCCTAAGATAGCTAGTACCATCATATACTCTAACCTTTCAACCCTCTAAAATAATTTTAGAGTTTTCGATTGTCCATTCGTGTAGATACTACTAGAGGCCGGACGCTTGGACGACTTATGGTTTGCGACAACCTAGCCGTGTAGATTGAAGTTTCGAAAAAACTGCAAAAAATGTATTCTTCTAAACAATTTTTATTGATTTAATCGTTTAAACGGATTATTGCTGGTATAATTATATTATTCCACTGCGCATTATTGATATTTAAACTCAACATAAAAGAGAGGTAGAAGAGAGAGCGAAACTTAGGAATAAGAAATTCTTCTCTTACCTTAAATCTTTTTATTTTAGATTGACTAATGTTTATAAACAGAAGAATAGAAGAGTTGAACAGAATAAATACATAAAGATAAAATAGTGTGTTTTCTAAAAAATATGGACAGACTAGTTATTTTCTATATTTTATAAGTACATGATTATAATTTTTATAAATTATAATTCATTTCTATTGTTTGAATGTGAAATATCTTATATTAGATTAATAGAAGCCACATTACTAAAGTGTTATATACTCCATATTAATAATACTAAATCGGTTTTAGTAAATCGTAATAACAACATAAAATAATGTCATTAAATGCAATGTTTATATTAAAATTCTATTTAATTATTATTGTACCGCATTTTATTAGAATATCTGTATTTCATTAGAATTCCCTACAGAGAGTGTAATGATTAAATGTAGCACAAAATTTAATTTCATAATTTGTTATTTTTTTCATTATTATCATATTTAATAATTAAATGTTGAAAATACAAAATTTATATTATTATTATACTATTATTATTTATATGATCTTATGAGTTAAAAATTTTAATATAAAATTTATATTTTTAAACTAATTTTTCAATATTACCAACCAACAACGGTAAAATAAGTCGTTCTGGAAAAAATATTTTTACTTAAAAATATTAATCCAAGTTAAGGTTATTTTCTAGAAGTTGAAACGGGAAGGCTTAATATTCCCTGCTTAATATTCCTTTTCATTTAAAACCTAGTAGATTTTTTTTTTTTGAGAAATAAACCTAGTAGATATTTACTTTTATTATTACCAGCTGGAAAATCTAAATAAATCAATAAATAAATAAAATTCATATTGCATGAAATACAATAATTTATTAATGTTTAAGTTTACCATAATACCATCTTAGTTTCAACAAATTCAACAATACTTTTGCTTGAGTTAAGTTCTTTTAGAGATTGAGCTTTTTAATTTTTAGATTTTTCTTTTCTTACTTCGTTTACTTTTTTAGATTC